CCAAGTTTTAGCTATTACAAACTGTGCTGCTATAAACATGGGTGCACATATATCACTGTGGTATGATTCTTTTAATTCATTTGGAAAGATACCCAGCAGAGGAATAGCTGGGTCAAATGGGACCTCTAATCCTAGTTTTTTGAGGTATCTCCATATTTATTTCCAAAGTGGTTGCAACCGTCTGCATTCCCACCAATGGGGAAGTGTTCCTTTCTCCCCACAGCCCTGCCAGCATTTGTTACTGGGTGATTTCTTGTTAGCAGCCATTCTTTCTGAAGTATGGTGGCTCTCAGTGTTGTTTTCATCTGCATCTCTCAGATGACCAGAGATGTTGAACAGTTTTTCATATATTTATTTGCTACTTTTACTTGTTTGTCTGTGAAATGTCTGTTCATTTTAGATGTCCATTTTTGAATCGGGTCTTTGTATTTAGGGGGTCTGATTTTTTTGAGCTCTTTATATATTCTAGATAGTAGTTATTTGTCTGAGGAGCAGCTGGTAAAATGATTTTTCCCCCCACATTGTAGGTTGTCTCTTAGCTCTATTGGTGATTTCTCTTGGAATACAAAACTTTTTAATACAATGAGATCCCAGTTGTTGATTCTTTGTACAACTTCTCATGCTACTGAGGATTTGTTCATAAAGTCTCCTGTGTCAGTCTTAGAGAGTTCTACCTAATTTAATTTCCAGTAAGTTTAGTATTTCTGTTTTGATATTTAGATCTTTAATCCACTTGGATTTTAGTTTAGTGCATGGTGAAAGATAGGGGTCCAATTTTAATCTTTGGCAACTTAAAAGCCAGTGTTTTGAACACCATTTATTAAAGAGGGTATCTTTCCTTTGTCAAAGATGAGGTAGCTGAGTACGTCAGGAGATGTTTCTGCATCTTTGAATTTATTCCATTGATCCTCAGTTCTGTTTCTTTGCCAGTACCATGCTGTTTTTATCACAGTGGCTTTGTGCTATTGTTTCAAGTTGGACATTGTGATACCCCCTGCCATGTCTCTATTGCCTAGGATGATTTTTGCTATTCTAGGTCTCTTCTGATTCCAAGTGAATTTTTGGATTGTTTTCTCCATTTCTGTGAAATATACTGTTGGTATTTCAAATGGGATTGCATTGAATCTGTATAGCACTTTGGAAATATGGCCATTTTCACTAAGTCGATTCTTCCTTCTAAGGAATAAGGAATGTCTTTCCATCTTCTTATTTCCTCTTCTATCTCTTTTTGCAGAGTGCTGTAATTTTCAGAGGAGAGGTCTTTTGTCTCCTATGTTAGATTGATTCCTAGATATTTCATTTTTTTGGATGCTATTGTGAAGGGAATTGTTTTCTTAATTTCTCTCTCAGTGAGTCTGTTATTTATGTATTTTTAAGTGTTGACTTTGTATCCAGCTACTCTACTGAATCTGTTGCTTAAGTCTATAAGTCTTTTGGAAGAGTTTTTTTGGGTCTTCTATGTAGAATATCATATCATCAACAAATAGTGACAGTTTAACTTCTTTTCCTGTCTCTATTGCTTTTATTTTTTTTCTCTTGTCTAATTTATGTGGCTAATGTTTCTAGAACTATATTGAACAGGAGTGGTGATAGTGGACATCCTTGTCTTGTTCTTGATTGTAGTGTGAAAGTTTTCAGTTTTTGACCATTTAGTATTATATTGGATGTTGGTTTTTCGTAGATAGACTTTAGCAGGATGAGATAAAGGCCATCTATTCTAATTTTCTGTAGGGTTTTTATCATGACTGGATGTTGAATTTTGTTGAATGACTTTTCTGCATCTATTGAGATGATCATATGTTTTTTTCCCTTGACTCTGTTAATATAGGGTGTTACATTTATTGATTTACATATGTTGAACCATCCTTGCATCCCTGGGATAAATACAACTTGGTTAGGGTGTATGATCTTCTTGGTGATCTTCTGTATTCTGTTTGCCAGGCCAGTATCTTTTTGAGGATTTTTGCATCTGTGTTCATGAGGCAGATTGGCCTATAGTTCTCTGTTTTGGTTAAGTCTTTCTCTGGATTAGGAATCAAAGTAATACTTGCTTTCAGGAATGAATTTGAAAGTATTGCTTCCCTTTCAATTTCATCGAAGAGCTTAAAGAGTAGTGGTAATAGTTCTTCTCTAAATGTCTTGCAGAATTCAGCAGGGAAACCATCAGGACCTGGGCTTTTCTTTGTTGGTAATGTTTTCTTTACATTTTGAATTTCATTGCATGTAATTGGGGTGTTCAGAGTTTTTATGTCTACTTTGCTCAACTTTGGAAGTTCATATGTATCTAGGAATCTTTTCATTGCTTCTGTATTTTCCATTTTATTAGAGTACAGGTTTTTTAACTAAGTATTGACGATTCTCTGGATTTCTGCTGGATCTGTTGTAACTTCATTTTCATTCCTAGTTGTATGAATTTGAGCCTTTTCTTTCATTTTTTCGATAAGTTTGGCTAAGGGTTCATTGATTTTATTTATTATTTTGAAAATCAACTTTTGATTCATTGATTTTTTGTATCACTCTCTTAGACTCCATTGTATTAATTTCTGCCATGATCTTTATAATTTCCTCCCTTGTACAAGCTTTTGCTTTTTCTTGCTCTTCTTTTCTAGAAGTTTAAAGTCAAGCATTAGGTTGTTTATTTCAGCTTGCTGTTTTCGTAGTGTAGGCATTTACTGCTGTGAATTTCCCTTGTAGAACTGCTTTCATTGTGTCCCATAGATTCCCCTATATTATATTGGTATTATCATTTAATTGTAGAAACTGTCCAATTTCTTTTTTAATTTCCTCTGTGACCCAGTGGTTGTTCAGCACGGTGTTATTTAATATCCATGTGTTTGTGAAGTTCTTGAAGTTTCTTAGCCTATTGATTTGTAGTTTAATTGCACTATGGTCTGATAATATATACGGGATATCTTCAGTTCTTTTGCATTTACTTAAGCATGGTCTATGAGCTAGTATGTGGCCTATTTAGGAGAAAGAGCCATGAAGAGTACCCAGTTTTAAGTAGTAATATCCTGGCATATCTTCAACAACCTTTGGAGCAGAGGAGGTTTGATCAGCTAATAGGAAACAATGATTCATATTGCTTGTCAATTCCTGTGGTGTAAATTCTTCTACCATGACTGATTTCAAGCTACCAAAATACTGTTGTTATGCAAGGAGTTGGAAAGTTATATATACAATTGGTGTGAGGTGGTTCCAATTCACTAATGCCTTTAAAGAGACCATACACATTTTATTTTCTAAAACAAATATGTTCAAAAAGTACTGCATAGAAAACCTTCCAAAACTGAAGTCAATGTCATTGAAACATTAGGCTCACTAAATTTTCTTCTACCCAACTTTGTAAGAAAAGATCTAATTTTGATATATGTACATATGTGTATCATGTATGTCATATTTGTGTTTTCTGCTTACCTAATACATAGTTGCTAAAGATTTTTGTTCTCTGATAATTTAATAAAATATTCCTAAAATTATATCAAAATCTGTCCATGACCCAAACTCCCACTGTTGAGTAGAATGAAGATTCTTTGCTTTGAGTCAATATTATCCTTTTTCCTTCATCTTTATCGTTTCCTATAATAAGTAGGGACACATTATACCTGAGAGTATAAATAAAAGCCCTCCCATTGTAGAGGGAAGTCCTATGTTTAATTAGGCAAACAGTGAGTGATAATGATAACGGAGTGCTCAACAGATGAACTGAGTTGTGGTTACTTTCAAGTTTGTTTGAACTTCTACTTTACCATGTGAAGCCCATGGAAACATTGGTTTTCATCTATGCACACTGCTTAGCCCCCTCCCCCTGGAGAAACAGGGAAGCAGAACAGAAGGCTGCAGTGTTGGCACGTGGTCAGTCCTCAGTGGGAGTGGGAGGAGCCTGTGATCTTCGGCTATCACTCGTGCTTGATTAAAGCCGTTCACATGGTCTAAATGCTCACATCTGTGTGCCATTTCCTGCAAGGCTGTCTCCTTGTTTTGTGAATTCCCATTCCTCTTCATTTTATCATTGTTCATCATAAGTTGTTTACCTAACAATCCTATGCTTGGCATTCAAGGGTACATAAACTCTTTGAAGAAAGAAATAGGTTTTCACTCGTTTGTCACCCAGGACATTTTTAAAAATTTCTTGAATATAGTAATACTCTAGTTATTAATCGATGAAACTTAAAAACAAATTACCTGAATATCATTTATCAAATACATTAAAATTACTGCATGGTAATCTCCTTTTTCTACCAGTTGTCATATAAAAATGTTCAGTGTCTGTTTTATATATACACTAAGACATAATAGGAAGAGAGAGAGAGAGAGAGAGAGAGAGAGAAAGTATTACAGCTCAGCTCAGATAATGTATCTAAAAGTGTACCTTGCCTTAGTACAATTATCCTATGTGCTTTACGTGTTCTTTGGTTTATTAGTCTTGTTTATAATCTGTATATATTAAAACTAACTTTATGATATTATAAGATAAATAACTCATGCTGGAAAAATAAAAGTAAGATGGAGGGAAGGTAAAAAAGAAATATGTTATGTACATGAACCTATTCTCTAGAATGAATGTAATCATTTTAAATAAAAGTAAAAAAACCTTGTTTTGTATTCTTCAGGCATCACAAAGCAGGAAAGAAAGAGGGATATCGTAAAAAAGTGCACTATTCAAACTGTCTAGAAGCCTCTGTTTTAGTCTTTGGTTAGCACTAACTGTATTTATATACTTTCAAAAGTGCTGAAATTTTCTGAGACTTCGTTTGTTTACCTGTGAAATGACCAGTAAACTATCCCATCTTTTCTGTGTTATGTCTTAGTTACCCGAAATAACGTTCTAATAAAAAAATCAAAGTGTTCTGAAATAATTAGTAATTAACTGAAAAGTGTCACAATTAAAGTGCGTGTACAATTAGTGTTTAACAATATGAGACTATTGTTGTGTTCTTGTTTAATATAATCAAATTTCTAAGAATTGTCCTTAATTTGAGTCTGTGGTCTTCCTACAGAAGAGGCTTCACAGCCCTGTCTTACTGAGAAGTGGTCATTAGTCCTGGATTGCAGTGGATTGACCTTTTTTGACTATTCTGGAGTCTCCATGCTTGTTGAGGTATTTTGCACAATCTCAATTTGGACTGATCTTTTCCTTTCTCTTCAGGTACAGAGGATTCACCAGCCACTCTCTCAGATCCATAGTCTGAGCTCAGAGTATTTATTTTACCCCTTTCCCCACAAAGGACATGGGTCTCTGTGCCTTACAGCACTGTAGATTTGTTTTCAAGAGATCCTGTCAGGCTTCAGAAGTGTATGTGTGAGGCCAGGACCGGGGCGTTCTCATGCATAGTCACAGGACATAGACCTGAGGTGTGATTGACATAGTGTCTTCTGGACAGACCACTTCTAGAGGGCTTCTACAAAGAAAGAGAAAGTCCTATCCAGGACACAGGCTACATGATAAGCAAGTAGCATTGGTGATAACAAACTCTTTTCCCATATCAAGGCCAGTCTTATTTTGACATAATATCACCCCTGGTCTTTCAAAACCCCATTTCCATCTAAGAAGGAAGACCTAACTTTGTGAATTTAAGGAAAACTTTGACCTATTTCTGGAAAAATTTTCTGCTTTTACAGTGAACATGAAGTCAACAAGGAATTCACTCCTTCCTCATTTCTTCGAACTCTCTCTGTCCATGGCCTAATTTGGGATGGGGTCTTAAGGGTGGGACAGCATCTGCCCCTCAGTGTCCTTACCTCCTTTCCAACTCTGTGCCTACACCCAGCACCTCTTCTTGTGCTTGTTCCCCACATTTCCTTACCCCGGACTTCTGGAGCCTCCCTGTGTGTGACTTCATTTTCAGCCAAAGCCTTAAATAAAATTATGAACATTTCTGGAATTCTTTATCTGCATAAATTCCACAAATCTTACCTACCCAGCTCTCTTAACTCCAGTTCTGTCTGCTTAGCCCAAGTGAAGCTTCCAGATGTCACTCGGGTTCCCTCATCATGCTTTAGGCAACCAGATGAGCTGGGGGGGGGCGGCGCTTATTTGTCCTTTTCTTAAAGGTAAGCTCAGTCCTGCACTGTGCTGAGACCATGGTCTAAGTATAGCTGTGCCTGTGTTTTTGTCCAGTTGTCTACGGATATGAGATAGTCTTGTGTTAGTTATTCACTGTAGACAGAAGTAAAAATTGGACAATGACTTCTAAAGAGTTCAGAATAGAAGCCTTGATATGGTCTCATATAGATTTTAATTTTTTTCTTGGAATGTTATATACTTGGGCATTATTCACTTGCATTTTAAATTTACTTTAACAAGTTCAACCTTTTAAACATAGGATGGTATAAAGGTCAATTTCAATCTCGCTGTCCTATGACATTAAGGGCAGTGTGTGTGGAGGGAAACTGCTGAGTGGAAGTCACACTTGCCACACCCTAGGAGTTGGGGAGTCATCTCCTTTCTCTGGATCTCAGTTAATTCATTCGTAAAGACAAGGTGATTTTTGTTTCTGGATGAGCAGATATTTAGAAAGCAAGGAAATAAAGAAATTAAAATGAAAATACTTTAGGTATTAAATGCAGTAGCTATTTTTGGCAGGTTACCCTTTTATTTTTTTGTTCACTATAAAAGCCTTGCATAATTGGGCATCAGATTTAACCTGACTACTTTATGTTTTCTTGCAACTAAAGCCATATTGTAAACATGTTGTCCCTCTGCTCCATTCACTGCAGGTCACTTATTTATTTATATTTGCAATTCTGGGATTGAACCTAGGGCCTGCCTATTAAGCTACCTCCCTAGCCCTCATTTTCATTTTTGAGATGGGGTCTCACTAAATTGCTAAGCTGCCCAAGCTGGGCTCAAGCTTTTAGTCCTCTTGCCTCAGCCTCCCAGAGTGCTAAGATTACAGCCATGAGCCACCTTGTCCTGCAGGAAAGATTTTTGTATTTGGCCTTTTTACCTGCTGAGTGTTGCTGAGGTCTAGAAGAGTACCATTACCAACTGTGTGCTTCAAGATGGTCTTGATTCTCATTTTCTGTGCAGTCTTCTGAGTCATACTTCTGACCCAGAATCTTTAAGCAACCACAGTTGTTTCTTACACGAGTGGAAAAACACTAGCCTAGGGGGAATAAATTGACTGATACAGTTTATTTTTAAATTGGCAGAAAATAATATTTGCCCTTGCCTCTGTGTTTTTGATAGATAGACATGAATGCAATAGTTTTGTATCAGTTTTCTAAGCTTCCTTATTACTATTCAGTTTATTTCATTAAGGTTACAATAACACAATAGGTATTAAGAATTTAGGCTTTATAGAGAGACAAACTCTGGGTCCGTGTATTAGTCATTTATTAGTTCTCTGATTTGGATGCAAGTATTTGTTTGCACTTCTGTAAACTGGGAAGAGAAACACTCACTTTATCAAGTAGTGAGGCTTATATTATGAATAACGAATGTCTACCATTTGGTAAATACTCAGTGATGCTAGCCTCTATTATGTTCTTCTCATTTAAAAAAGCAACTTCTGAAGGGACAAATAATATCATAACTAATAAATATTATTTCTTAGTTCCAACCTTCCTGGGAGAGAACAAAGAACCACAGAGACTCCATAGCCACGCATGCCTTCCTGGTTTCTAATAACACTCCTGGCTTGTTTGCTTCATCACTTTTGCATAGGCAAATTCTCCCAGGAGTCACAGGTTGAAGGCAGTGGAGTGACTTCTGTTTATTCCTTTACTGGGGACACTGGCGAGGTCAGTGAAGTGGGAATGATATTTATCAGCATCAACAAACCACCCATAACAATGTGTTTGTGCTTGATTGAGCTTCAGGAAAAGCAAACACTGAATGGTCACCTTGAATTAATCACTGTAACTTAATAAGAGCCAGAGCCATTTATTTAGTATCAAAGTCTTGGCCCACCCATATATATTTTGCTCATTTGTTCATTTAGTCTCAAAATGATACAACTCTCATTATTTCAGAATTCTTATCACATATAGAAAAGTGCTTACTGCTGGAAAAAAAGGGAAATTTTGAATGTATCACACATGCCATTATTATAAATGCAGCTTTCTATAATTTTCATATAAGCTATACCACTGTTACATAATAAAATCTATTCTACTGTAATTAAAACTTCTAGATCACTTTCACTGAATTTCATGGTATGACTTTGGTCTGGGTAAATTTAAAATCAGAGCCTTTCTTCTTGGCTACATTTCTACACTGCTTCTACTTGAGATTTTCTAAAATTTAAGAGGTAGCACTCTAAAGCATGCCATTAGCATCTTTCATCTTGATGGACTTTTAAAAAGGGAAGTTGGAAGATCCAAATTGGCTTAGATCCTAGTGAGGTTTTCAATTTTCCATTCATGGGTGGGATTTATATAGTCCATGAATATGTTCAAATGATTGCAAGATATTAATTCAGCAGAAGGTCAGCCTTCATCACTTTCACAAATGGGCCCTTGACTTCCAATAAAAGAGGTTGAGAACAATTTACTGTCATTATTATGAGAAAGGAAAGGCGATGCTTAGCTTTTTATTTTATATGGTGGGAAATAGAAGCAGCCAAATTCAGTTGCAGTAAAGGTAGATGCTTAGTTGAATTAATTTAAGTCTTCAAACCACTTGCCGGGCTGTGCCAGACTCTCAGACTATGTAACAATGCCTCCCTCTGGTGGCTTAAATTCATAACTTTTTTTTTTTTTTTTTTTGGTAGACGCTTTTAAAGCCTCTTTTATTCCTTTCTTATCAGCTCTTCTGAATTAATCATAGGTTTACTATTTTGATTCTTCCAGGTTTATACGGACTGCAAGGACATGAATGTGGATGTGTCATTAGCCAATTGCACAGGTAACAAAGTGATCCTGGCTGGCATTGAATGTGATCCTTCTGCCATTCCATGTATCTTTATATTACCTGCACTTTCTCGTAGATTCCCTGATAAAAGCAATGAAGTACTATGGAAATCTAGACTCAGAGAGACCGATTTTTTTTGAATCAGTGTCTGCTGCAATAAGTAATATCTCCTCGAATAAGGTGAGTTGATCTAGGTAGAATGCAGGAATTGTATGAAAACCTAGAATGTAAAATCAAGGGCTTTATATTTTTTATATTAGTTTTTACCCCACTGGCATCTGAAATCTATTAAAAATTGCTCCCTCTATCCCAGAGTCTTCTGCTGCAATTCCAGGAATATTTTTATTGCTTTTTTGGACCATTAAAAACAACTGTTTAAGCAAGGGATTTAGCTCAGTGGTTTGGTGGCCTGTCTTGCAAGAGCAAGGACCTGAGTTCAATCCCTGGTACCAAAAAAAAAAAAATCAGGAAAAACAACTGTTTAGTAATTTGTTATAAAACAAATTATTCCAATACTGGCACTGCTTAGAGGATTCAGTGATCACCAGTCAATAGCTTAAGGCTTGTTTAAATGTTCTTCCATAAGCCACACTGTCCTGGAAGTTTGAAATAATCTCTCTCAAATACAAAAATTCTATTTTTTTTTTTTTTTTTTGCTTTTACTTTGCCTCTAACCAGTGGCTATTTGTATCACCGAAAGCTTAAAAAGCTTCATTAAAATTTTTTTTTTTTTTTTTTTTTTTGCTTTTACTTTGCCTCTAACCAGTGGCTATTTGTATCACCGAAAGCTTAAAAAGCTTCATCATCACTGAACCTGGGCTTATTCTAATTGCCATCTTTAAAACATTATTTGCAGAGCCCAGTTTTCACATGATTGAATTGTGATACTTTCCTCCCAAAGACTCAGCTTTGAGGTTTATTTTTACAGTTGTTCCCTGAGCTGTGATTCCCTTCAATTTTTCTTTAACTTTTGAATTATTTTATCTTTCCTCAACCCTAGAATGATAATTGGTGCCTCCAAGAGACATCCCTATTATATGCAGTCAGAACAGTATGTATTTACAAAATAATAATAACAATGTTGTTATTATTATTACAACACCTAACATGCACTGAGTGCTTACTGTGCTCCAAGGGATATTCTAAGGGCTTTACCTATATTAATTAGCTAAATTTATCAGAACCTAATGAAAAGATACTGTACTTGGTACATTTTTAGAAATGGAGAAAATGAGGCCCAAGGATATTATACCATTTGCAAGTGGAGGAGCTGGTGTTTGATCTTCGACCTAAATCTTTATGCCGCTATCCTCTGATGCTTCATAGGAAACCCAGTTCTATGGCATGGCTGGATGGCTGGCTTCTGTTAATACTGTTCTTTCACTATGGGGCCAATTTAAGAGTTGACTCTGTAGCACATACTTATTTCTTCCTCTTCTATTTCAGAGCTCAAACAAACTCTGTGACCACAGTGAAGTTTGAGACCCTTTTGTGGCAGTGCAGACCTTATCTTTAGCAACTACCCTGAAGAGGCCACATACTGGCACTTTGGATGACTTTTTTGTTGTTTAGATCCTATACATATGACCCTTCCTATGAGTATGATGTGATTTAGTAACTGCATAGTCACTGGTTCAGATTTGTCAACAGTCTTTAACGTCTTTGCTAGTAAGCAAATTTACTTAGTTATTTTATATAAAAATTAGTATGCATTTAGTTTTAATGTACTGAAGGATAAACATGATTTTATCTGTAGTTTCTATTGTTTTATTTCTATGTTGCTATAACTTAATTTTTAAAATAGAGAAATACTTTTGTCATAAGAGATTTGGGATATTTACAAGCCATTTGTAAAACTCCAGAATCATCTACAACATGAAAACAATACATAAAATTGACCTAAGGTGCCAATTTCCTGGGTCCTCTTCCCCTAAAAGCCATTTAAACATCAATGTGACTAAATACTACTTTATACAATGGTATATGGAATTCATAGAAACAAACCAAAGAGAAATGCATGACAAACTGGAAGTCACTGGTCCCCATACCTTTTATTACATTCATTCCTGATGTTTTCATGTCCTAAATAAGAATGTTTTCGTGTTCAGGAAAATTGGTATCCCAAGAACTGAGATCTTGAAATTGGTCTGTTTTGTTAAGAATATTGGAATCACTTGGGCTTTTCACACCAGATAGCTCTAATTTTTACATTCTCACTCCATGAAGGCTGTGCCCTCTGCTTAAATTTTGTCGGCGCTAGAGAATTTGGAAATTGCATGTTTTATCTTTTTCACAAATATGATTTTTAGTACCACTCATAGGGTAGCTTTGTGATATTTCAGGACAAGATTAACTTTGGTAGTTTTGAACTTTCTTATTTCAGAGATGCTGTCAATAAATATATTTATCTATCTATATCTGGGTAAAGTCTCCATAGTTTGCTTGCTTTTCTTGTTGTTAGAGAGTGTGGATGTGATGATCTGCGAGCCCACCAAAGCATTTAAAAATGACACTATAGGCCAGGCTGAACAATAGAAATTATTCTTTCATGCTTCTCCTCATGTTTCATGGCACATCATTACACAATGTCGTATTTTATATATCAAATTGATTTACATAGGAAGAATACTCACTGTCAAAATCACACATAGATGCAAAATTATGCTTAATCCTAAAGGTATCTTAACCCTTTGGAAATGACCAGTGTAAGAAAAAGCTAAGTACTTTAAAGCAAGTTTGAAAAATAAATTCAAAATAAAATTAAGAGATTGGTCATTTAGCCACTTCTGTGAATTCTCCAACACTGAATTCTAGCTCCTGCCAACTGATGCATTGTAATAATCAATCCCTAGCCAGTGTGTGGCAAACATTCATATGGCCTTTAATTTCAGGATTAAATCCTAAGTAGGAAAAATTAATAAAATGAAAGAGGAATCTAATTCTTAGTTTCTCTGGCCATTTAAAATTTTATAGAAATGAAATGCAAAGAATAGTCCCCCAAATACTGCCACCCCTCAATAAGTGAGGTTAACTTACATTCCCAACACCGTTCCAGGGAGGAAGGCAGGTCATAAGTAGCTGTAAAATTTCCTTACAGAAAGGAATTATACTCTGCTTTGTCCACTCAAATTACTCCAGTGGTAGATGGTGATAGGATTCACTATCCTTAAGCAATTAACATAAGCCTAGGGAAGCAAGAAAATATATATTTTGCTGTGTGTAAACTGATATTTTGCTATGCGACTATGGCCTGTAATTGAACTCATGCACTGCAAGCATTTTCCAATTTGTTAGATGGTATGGGCCATGGATGGCATTAAAATCATTATAGTTAATCAATGGATGGTTTGTTCTGTTTCATCATTAAGGCTGATACAGTATTGTCTGAGAAGCATTTCAGTGTTTATAGAAGAAATTTAGTGGACAAAACTTCAAAGCCAATAACTTAGGTCAAATGATAATGTTAAATTCAAGAAAAAGGAAGATCAAATCCTATAATATATAAAGTTCTTTTTCCCATGGTTTCTTCCTTGGACCAAAGTCACAATGATTGTCAACCTGAAGAAAACTCAATTCAGTTCTAAGTGTTCAAAACCAAAACATGAGTTTTGGATGCACAAGCTTGTAAAATACAAATGTTCATTTCAAAGTAGGAGTTGAAAACACAAAAACTATTAATATGGTTCTAATCCTAAAATGTTTCTAGAATGACACTAAATTATTTTTATGGGATCATCTTATTTTTGTATGATAACCTATTTCCATATTACTTTTTATGGTAAAAAAATTGGAAAAAATTAAAACTGACATAAGCATTTTAAGGGCCTACTGTAGTGACATATATAAATTAAGTCTAAAATATGTAACCAGGAAAAGACGATTAACATTACATTTATGCAAATTAAATGCTCTTAAATTTTCCATTTGTCTTTCACTTTAAAGGTTATTTGCCCCCAATTATATAATTCAAGTGTTATAAGGTTTAGCTTAAACTGCTTTGCAGTAATTTATTTGACAGATCTCTCCTCTACAAATGCATAATGTAATGAGGAAAGAGATCTTTATTTTTAATGAAAACATTAATAGGTTAATACCCTGTATTAATAATGTTTGACATGTAGTAGTTACCAGAATTTGTTGGTATGTTGTTGAACATACATATGCCTAGAAATGTACATTTTGTATTCTGTGGGATGATGATTTAATTCAATAACAGAATATGCTTTTGGCAGTAAGTTTGTTGCCAGATTTCAAATAGGGAGTTAAGTGGTGCTTTCACAATCCAAAGATTTTTAGTTAAAAATCATGTAGTTTAATATGCTGCACTTATTTTTTATATTTTTCAATGCATTTAATTATCTTTTTATAATTCTTTGTACTAACTCAGCATGTCACAACCAATTTACATGGAAATAAATTGAAATATGATAACTATTATGCTTAATGGATTTGTGCCCATTATTTCAGAGTATTTACTCCCCTACAAAGCAAATCATATATATTGCTTTCTTGGACTGACCACAGAGTATTATGTGTCGAGAATTCCTGGAATCACCATATTCTTGGTAATTTCTTCTTACAAAATTTGAGAACTAATTTATGGAGTGCTGATAAGGGAACATTATTCTATAAGGCTACATTTAAACAATCCTCATACTAGATTTGTATCCTTTTTGTTTTAATTTTAATTAATATGTACATTTTTATTTTATTTTGGGAGCATCTTCATTATATGATGTTATTTGTCTTTCCTGAGTTTCTAGGCTGAGTTCAGCATTTCTTCTTTTATTTATTTACTTATTTTTGGTACCAGGGATTGAACTCAGGTCCTTGTGCTTGCGAGGCAGGCAGCAGAACCACTGAGCTAAATCCCCAGCCCTCTCAGCATTACTTTTGCAGTGCTGGGGATTGAGCTCAAGGCCTTCAGACTAAACCACATCCCTGGCCCCCCCTTCTTTCTTTTTCTTTTTTTCTTTCTTTCTTTCTCTTTTTCTTTCTCTCTCTCTTTTTTTAAAAGTTGCTGAATTGCCCAACTGGGCAACTTGTGATCATCCTGCCTCAGGCTCCCCAGCGCTGGGATTGCAGGCATTGTCTTAGTTACTTCCCTTGTTGTTGAGACACAGTATCAAACACCTACAACTTAAATTGGTAGAGGTTTATTTTGGCTTGTGTTTTTAGGCCCAAGCTGTCTGGCTCCAAAGCAGGAAGGTACATGGAAGGGTCTATACAAAGGTGAGCTGTTACAGCCTGGCAACCAGGAAGCAGAAAGAGAGGGGGGAAGAATGAGAGCCAGAAGGAAGATAGCTCCTACACCGAGTGACCCATCTCTTAAGGCAGACCCCACCTCGTAAACCAAGTCAGTTCCAGCACCCACATAATCCAATCCCCTTTCACAAGTCTCAACTCTGAGTGTATAAGGATTTGGGGGGACATCCAGATATAAACTATAAAACCATGCATGGCTTTCTCAGCATTTTAAAGGTTACTGCTTCCAGGATAAATAAAACACTATTCTAGGAAATACAGCAGTGAATAAAACAGGAAAAAGTACCTATTCTCATGGAACTCATTTTCTAATTGGGAAGACAGAAAATAATGAGGATAAATTTAAAATGCATTTATGTAAGTAGATGGTAATATGCATCACAAAAAATAAAGAAAGATAGAAGTATGACAGAAGGTGAGTGTTTTGGTGATAGGAGGGTGACCAACAGGAATATTCTCATAAGCTTAGGCTGCTCTAACAAAATATCTGACTAGGTGTCTTAAACAACAGAAATTTATTTCTTACAGTTTTGGAAGGCTGAGATTGTGGTACAGCACTTGCATAGCACACACAAGACCTTTAGTTTGCTGTCCAGCACTGCAAAATTTTTTTTAAAAATTATGAATATAGTCTGGAGACTAGGAAGTCTAAGGTGAATGAGTTGATTGATTTGGGGTTCAGTTTCTGGGGTGTCACAGTATGCAACTGGCTGCATAGAGGACAAAGAAGATTACTCGAGACAAGACTTTAGTTCATTCACTAAAAGGACCCAGAAAGGCCACTTCCTCAGCAGAAGATAACTTCAGGGAAATAGCAGTGAGCTGAGAACTCTGTGGTTATTTGTAACTCAAGAACATGAGAAGAAAAGCATTGACAGCATACTGTATAGGAATTCAGGCCAGGGGACATGGCTAGAATGGGATGACTTGTTATGTGATACATGTCAACTTAGTTTAAGTAATCTTATTAGGGAAGGCAGAATACAATGGCCAAAACAAACATCTCTGAGAACAAACGTTTTAATTCTGCCAACGGCTGTCCTGCAGCTTCTGCTCTAAACTGTAGCCATACATTCCAGGAGTACTGAACTGTTGTCCAAAAAGTCCTTTCCTTTTTTTTTTTTTTTTTTTTTTTCATTTACTTCAAACACTCCTTGGGCCAGGGTTTTCCCACAGTAGGGGATCTCTTTTGATGTGTAGCTGGCACCTTTTCATTAAGTGCTTATGTGGTAGGGAGAGATAGAAAGAGGCCTTCCTAATACCTCTTCTTACAAAGACATGAATTAGGATCCAATTTCATGATCTAATTTAACCTTAATGACCATATTCTTATAGGTCATGTTTCCACATACAGTGACATTATGAGCACAGAAGCAGGGCACAGTTCAGTCCGTAGCATTCTGCCCTTGATCTTCCTTAAAGTCATGTCTTTATCACATGCCAAAGTATATTCATTACAACCTCAAAGGTCTTAACTCAGTCCAATATCAACTCTCAAGTCTAATACCCCATATCATATCTACATACATCAAAGTCAATATGGGTGAGAACAGAGACATAATTTAGCTTTGGGCAAACTATAACCTAGGAAACCAGACAAACTATTTAATTTCAAACAACAGTGGTCAGACAGGAATACCTATTACATTCCTATTATGGTAAAGAGAATAAGAAGTCTACATCAAGTTTTGAATCTTGTAAAGAAATTTCTATTACATTAGATCTTAAAGTTTGAAAATAATCCTCTTTGATTTGATGATTCTGCAACTCTGGACCCATTGGTGTGGCCATCTGCTTCCCCAGACTATACCTGGTGGATCTACCCTCCTGCCTCTGTAAGATTGGCCAATTCCCAAAGTTTTGATTGGAAGTTCTCTGGCCTACTGAAGTTGAAGTGATGTCCTTACACTTTGAAACTGATGAAGCTGTCTTGATGATCTCTGAGTTGGCTTTGGTGTTATGTTCCTTTTGCTTGATGAACAGCGCACTTACATAGTCTATTACATTGATGGTTCCCTTCTGTAGAATCCAAGAAGTCTGTCAGTTATCCTTCATTTTGTCCATTCTCTGCTCCACTTAAGTTCAAACTGTCAGTGTTACTGCTGTTATAATTCTGTCTCTAATCTTGGCTTCTGCTGAGGTGGCAGATTAGCTTCATGGTTCAAAAGCATTCTGGTCTGATTATCAAATAGTTGCTCGGCTACATCTTTAATATTCTTTTCAGAACAAGGCTTCTCATTTTATGCAATTGTCTTCAAACTCATGTTTCTCTTTACTGAATAATTCATTTTCAGTTCATCTCTTTTCTCACATTTTACTAGAAGCAGGAGGAACCAAGCCACTTCTTCAATTGCTTAGACATATCATATCCTCAGCTAAATATCTAAATATAATCACTTGCAAGTTCTACCTTCCACAGAATGATAAAACACTAGAACACAGTTCATTCAAGGTCTTAGAGTCTTATATGTAACAAGGATGCCTTTCCTCCCATTTCCAATAGTTGTTTCTGATTTCTGTCAGAGATTTTCTTAGCAGTTTTTCATAGCTCTGTTCCTATCAAAACTCTGTTCTGGGTATCTTTCCAAAAGAATTAAAAGAATCATATCACAGTGATATATGCACACCTATGTTTATAGCGGCACAGTTTGTAATAGATACAACTTGGAAACAGCCCATTTGCCCATCAGTTGGGAGACAGGATAAAGAAGATGTGCTTCTTCTATAAAATGGAATATTACTCAGCCATAAACATGAGACACTGGAGTCATTCATAGGAAAATGGATACATATTGAGGATATACTCCTAAGTGAAATACATGAGTCACACAGGTGTAAATACTGAATAGTTTCTCTAGTGTGAAAAACTATAACAGTACATAAGATCCTAATGATATAATTGACAATGTGAAATAGGAAGAAAAGGGCTAAAGGTGTAGGGAAAGTGGGAAGGGTAGGGGAAAGGTAATAAGGGAAAAGAAAAAAAATATGAGAAAATGAAAAAATGGAAATAAAATATTTGTAAATAGGAAAGGGAGGAGGGGGTGAAGGGAGGGCACAGACAAGGGGAAAAAATGAAAACCAAGACCTGTCATGTAAAGGTACAAGATCCCAATGATGAATGTAACTCTACTGTATACCTAAAATGTACCAATAAACTCAATGAGGAAAAAAACCTGTTCTTATTTTTTCTTTAAGATGGAGAACTGCTCTTGAGCTTTCCTTTTTTTCCTAAAGTTTCTATTAGTCATTTTTCCCATTACACTGCACAGATTAATCTACAAAATTAAGGACAGGTTTAAATCAGCTCATGGTTACAGGGTCAGCTGTCTCCAAGGCAGACACATGGCAGAAGGGTGTAGAATAGCAAACCTGCTCAGTTTATGGCTGTCAGGAAGCAGAGCAGAACAGTGTCAGAGAGGAAGGGGCCACGGGCCATTTATAGTACTCAAGGTTACCCTTCTG